TATTTTTTTGTTTGGTTCATTATTATTTTGCCTCTGCATTCTATATATGTTTTATATTTTTTATTTCTGTGTACTAAGGCGTTTATATACTTAACTTTTGTGCTCTATTATATGTTTATAGCTACGTTTTGCTGAAAGCAGAAGTCTAGGGCAAATAATTGCCGTCTCTCCAGTGAGAATGCACCACAAAATGGATTTAAAAAGAAAAACCAAATTCTTTGGAGGAAACAAGTCAGAATCAAAAAGAAGTAAGTGACATTTGAAAAAAAAAGTAACATTGTTAGGAAAGTAAAAAAAAAGGGTGCTAATTCTAGAGAAAAAAAAGGCCTTTTTTGAAGAAGAAAGTCAAATTCTGAGAAAAAAGGCATATTTAAGATGCATTGTGGGACATGTAGTTTATGGGTGCTTCTGTAAATCGGTATGTAACCGTATAATAAACATATTATATTCTTTGCAAGCTCTTGTGGGGCCGCATCAAATGAAGTCACGGGCCGGATCTGGCCCCCGGGCCTTGAGTTTGACACCCCTGCTTTACAGTAATACTAATGCAGAGTATTAACATTTGTACTTTCTTACTTGTACTTGGGAATACAATGTTTTCCTTCACTGATGATAGATGTGGTGCCAGTGTAATCTTTACCGTTCTAATCATATTTTTACATTTGGCGTAGACTGATTGTTAAAGGCGTTTCAGCTATTTTTGGGATCCGTAATCACTATCATCAAAGTTGTTTTTAGATACTGTTTTCAAAGTTTCATCATTGTTAGAATTGGCTGGCTGCATAGCTGTGCACCTACACACACAGTGAAGGGAGGAGAGCATGTTTAAAACCAGAGAGAACAGACATTGTGTTCAGGTTTAGAAAGTCTAATCCTCTTTCCTGAAGATCTCAGTCAATAGTCTGAGACGTACGGTATGTGCTTAAAGTCATGACCACAGTCAAAACATTATTACATAAGTGTGAAACTCAGAGAACTGTCTATAAGTAGAACTCTTAGCTGGTAGATTTAGCTATTTATAATGCTATCCTCTCACTGCACCACCTATGAGTTGTAAAAAAGATATTTCTTGGGAGTTGGTTATCGTCGTGGCAGCAGGATGACTTTTTCGCCTTTCACAGGCATCTTTTGTGAATACCCCCCCCCTACTCTTTCTTAATCATTAATTTATCCAGGCATTGCTCACAACAGCCTATTTATAGAAGCCTTCACCAAACATCCCTGTGCTCTGTGCTCATTTTCAAACGGCCGCAGAACAAGGCTGAGACGTCTGCTCTGTCTCCACTGTACCATTTGTCTGTCAGTAGGGTGAGAGAGAAAGACCCTGGTGCATTGGTGGAGTATTTTCACTCTATATCCTCTCTCACTAAGCTCCTTTTTTCTTCCTTATGTTCTTCCTATTCCTTCCTTACTTCCTGTCCTCATGCCTTTTCTTTTATTCTTTGCTTCATCTTCATCCTCAAACCCCAGTCTGCTGTAGTACACCACACTGCTTGCACTGTGATGAGCTAATTACCGTCAGTAGTTGAGTGTGATGGCTCTCTCGTTCTGTAATCCATAAATAAACCTTTACAGAGAGACATGCAGGAATATGGATATGTGCAATCATTAGAGCCTGCTTTTGAGTTCTGGATGTTATGGGATATACTGTAGGAATTTAGGAAAGCACAGCAAAGCTGGTTTTGCTCTACATTACAAACACACATAATTACTATAGACTGAATATATTAAGATATTTACAAATAACTAGGGCTGCTCGATTATGGCAAAAATCATAATCTCGATTATTTGTTCAATAATTGATATCACGATTACTAAAAATGGTTATCCATTTATTTTGAAAACATCAATTTATTGGAGAAAATTTGTTTTAACAGTTTGTTTTTAACAGTTGATTACCCTGAACTTTAAGTATAATTCAACTGAAAAACCAAAATAAAAAAATAATAATTAAATAAATAATAATAATTTAAAAAAAAATCGTTTTATTTCGATCACGTTGTTTTCGTAATCGTTGCGAGCCATAATCGTAATTGCGATTAAAATACGATTAATTGAGCAGCCCTACAAATAGCCACGCATAAGTAATGTTGATGACGGATAGGTGCGCTGTGATGCTCTGCAGCTACAACATTTGAGAAGCTTGGCGATAAGATAATGATTTGATGTACAAGGACTGGACCTGTGCTGTGGCTTTGTTTAGTGCCTTCTCTCAATTGACCTGTCTCAAATCCTCAAGTTACACTCTGGTTTAATGGATCAATTAATCAAATCTCTTTTAACAGGCATAAAAGGCTCTTGTCTTTATTGAAAATTACAAATACTGCCTTACAATGAGCCCGACTTATTATGTAGTGATTGTATTTACTCTGGTTTTCATGCAAACTATACGGTCTACAGTCATTGAGCTTTTAAACTTTACTTCACATAGATCTTTCATTCAACTTCTTTGCCAAAAACTGCATTTTACAAGATGACCTTTGAACACATCATTTTATCTTTGCCCATCACTAATTTGTACTGAATATATCCCAATGTAACTTTTGTTCTGTTGGCTGTGAGCTCAGTGTTTCACCTCAGCAGCAGGACTGTGTTGCCCACTGGCTGCTAACAGCTAACATTACCCAGCCCACCTCCTGACACTTTAAACATGGAAAGTATTGATACAATGAATCAATAGTCACAGAGGCATGCAATTACAAGGAATCCGACAACTAGGAACCATTTCTTATCGGAAATCCCTTTCACTAGCATAACAATTAACTGCGGAAATACTACCGTAGATTTGAATGCAAGTTAAACTGAGTAAATACTAAAGCATCTCATGATAATTCAAACCCTCTTAAAAACCTATTTGGCATTAATTAAGTTTTTATTTTTCATCTTTAGATAAGTTTTTCTAATCTATGTGAAAGCTATGCGAGGTTTGTTAAGCTTTGATTATCAGTGGTACCTTGTTTGTGCCTAAATAAATTGTTTTTCTTTCCCCCTGGAAATGAAGCAAAGGCAGGCCTTCAACGCAGAGGAGGTTAACCAAGTCAGACAAGTTAAAAAATCTAATAGAGGCGAACATCCATTACTGAATGGGCCACCGGTCGAGCCAAGAAAAGGCCATTAAGGAAAGCATGGACTCAGCTCCCTGTAGAAAACATTTACGAGAGGCACTCGCTAATGGGTCAACAGGGAGACTCTTTCATCCCTCAAACTAATTGGCATCTGTGAATCTGAAGCTTAAGGGAGAAAAAGAGGAACCAGCTCGATGCTATTGATCAGGTGGATCGGTGCCTTTTTAAAGGTACAACAGGCATGATGAGGATGCTACCTTTTCACATTTCTCTCCTCTTTTGCAGAGGAAAAATGTCAGGCTTTTTGCTTGACCACAACAAGCAAAAACATGTAAATGCCACAAAATAAACCAATCTATGATTTAATATAAGTTTGAATCATTCGTCTGCATATCACCCCTGTGGCTAACACAGTAAGCTAATGAGCCTGGTGTAAACTGAAGAGATGCTTTTCTTAGAACTATTACATCCTTGCGATCATTCCCCGGGCAATTTTCTTGATGTACGAGTCCACAGAGGTTACTATTTCAATATATTGGATCCAATCGCTAATAAATCCCCATAATTGTTTGTCATTATCCCTTCCTCGTTATTGTAGCCAAGAGCACTGGATGCTGGAATGGAGGCCGACAGTCAAAGATAAACACTGTGTTCGCCGCGCATCACTGACTGCACTAAATGCGAAGGTGCAGGCCGCTCAATAAAACTAATCAAACGTGAATTTTAGGGTGTATTGACTCTCCTGGATTCGCATGGGATGGCAAATTTGTGATCCAAGGAAAGAAGGGGGAAAAGGCTTAAGCTGGAAGATCAGAAGCCAGCGTGGCAGGGCAAGGACAGTCAGAGGGTAGAGCTAAGAGACTGTTAACAGACTGATTTCTCAAACACTGCACATCCCCTCGAGCCAGACAATTTCCCCCTTGCCTTTGCCACTTTTATTGTTTCAGCTTTAAACTTCCCCTTATTGCTTATACTCTCACGGTAAAAGGAAAGGATGGTATCCAAGTGGTTATCAATCATCACTTTAGGACTTAAAGCCCCTGGCCAAGTTATTTTCTGTAACATTAAACCGTCATAACTAGACAATCAAATTAAGAAGAGAGTGTGTGTGTGTGTGTGTGTGTGTGTGTGTGTGTGTGTGTGTGTGTGTGTGTGTGTGTGTGTGTGTGTGTGTGTGTGTGGTTTAATCATTTTAACTGACAGAGACCTGGAAACATAAATAACACATTTTAATTCAAGTGTTGCCAATTTCTGATTAATGCATCAAAGCTTTTATTGATCTGAGCCGAGCCCAATTCTGAGTAGTTTGTAGAGAAACAATAAACAAAAACACATTCATAATACGTATGTTGCATGAGGAATAAACAAAACTGACCTAACTGTGGTAGAAAATGTTTTAGGCCTTAGGACAAATGAGGTTCAGTGGGTGGGTTTTTTTCAGTTAAGATATCCTTATTCCTCTGAAACGAAAACACATATATCTTGTAACTGGTTGTAATTTGACTTCATATTTACCTTTCTTGTTTTCTTGTTTGTCTTTCAGTTGCAACGATTGAAGCGCTCCCTGTCCTTCAAATCTGTCATGCGTAGCAAGAGTATGGACAACTTTTTCCAGCGCAATAACGGCGAATCCCGCCCTCCCTCCGCCCTCATCACTTCCCCTACAGCCCTGCCATGTCCTCCTCCCCCCATCTCCTCCTCCCCTCTGGCCTATGAGCGCACTCCGTCCCATTCCCCGACCACCAGTCCCAACCTCTCACTGTCATCCCGCTCACCTTCCATCAGCCCCTCGCTGTCTATGCCCTCCAAAAACCAGCTAAAGTCTCCGGTGCAGCCGCTCAAAACCCACTGTTTCCAGGAGCACGTCTTCCGCCGGCCCACCAGCTGCCAGGGGTGCAAACATATGATCCAAGGTAGGTCAGGGGTACTGGATACTTCCAGAAAATATTTCTTACTTTCGTCGTTTCATAAAGGAAATAAATGTGTTGCACAAGGTCTCCCAAAATGCAGAGATAAGCTGATTCTGTGTACTTCTGAAAGCTAAGATAAAAGTTGTTTTATCTTGAGTTAATCTACTGAGATTCAAGACTTTATTGTCATGTGCACATTAGCTACAGTGTAGATATGGCAATGGAAAAACTTAAGTCAAAGGCTCCTCCAACAGTGCAACATGAATAGCTGTACAATAGCTGCCCACTGCTCCTAGTACTAGACTCCTGGTACTAGGTTGGGTTAAATGCAGAGGCCAAATGTCACTGTGTGCTCTTCATGTGTGCCCATTAAAGAGGGTTTCATCCCTCTGATTCTATCTATATATCTATCTATCTATATACCGTATATACACTGAACAAAAATATATAAATGCAACACTTTTGATTTTGCTCCCATTTTTCATGAGATGAACTCAAAGATCTAAAACATTTTCTATATACACAAAATAACCATTTCTCTCAAATATTGTTCACAAATCTGAAAAAATCTGTGATATTAAGCACTTCTCCTTTGCCGAGATAATCCATCCCACCTCACAGATGTGGCATATCAAGATGCTGATTAGACAGCATGATTATTGCACAGGTGTGCCTTAGGCTGGCCACAATAAAAGGCCACTCTGAAACGTGCAGTTTTGCTTTATTGGGNATACAACATATGTAATAAAATACAAAAATACAAAATAAAAAGTAGTCTATATGTCAATAGAATATAGGAAACACAAGAACATGACCATGTTCAAAGGTAAACAAGCTATAAATGTAAGAAATCAATAAAACCATCCACTACAACACAACATACATATTCAACATAGTGTTGTTTTAGTTTGCATGTGTTTTCCTTTTTGCAGGTTTGGGAATATGTTAAGGATGAAACAATACTCATATGTATATATTGCTCATATATACTGAACAAAAATATAAACGCAACACTTTTGTTTTTGCTCCCATTTTTCATGAGATGAACTCAAAGATCTAAAACATTTTCTATATACACAAAATAACCATTTCTCTCAAATATTGTTCACAAATCTGAAAAAATCTGTGATATTGAGCACTTTTCCTTTGCCGAGATAATCCATCCCACCTCACAGGTGTGGCACATCAAGATGCTGATTAGACAGCATGATTATTGCACAGGTGTGCCTTAGGCTGGCCACAATAAAAGGCCACTCTGAAACATGCATTTTTGCTTTATTGGGGGGGTCTGGGGCGGTCCGAAAACCAGTCAGTATCTGGTGTGAGGGTTAGGATTAGGGTTAGGGTTAGGGTAATGTTGTGAATCGAGTGGCCTGTGTTCATCGTCCATAACATACGCCCACCACCACCATGGGCCACTCGATTCACAACATTACCCTAACCCTAACCCTAATCCTAACGCTCACACCAGATACTGACTGGTTTTCGGACCCCCCCAGACCCCCCCAATAAAGCAAAACTGCACATTTCAGAGTGGCCTTTTATTGTGGCCAGCCTAAGGCCCACCTGTGCAATAATCATGCTGTCTAACCAGCATCTTGATATGCCACACCTGTGAGGTGGGATGGATTATCTCAGCAAAGGAGAAGTGCTCACTATCACAGATTTTTTCAGATTTGTGAACAATATTTGAGAGAAATGGTTATTTTGTGTATATAGAAAATGTTTTAGATCTTTGAGTTCATCTCATGAAAAATGGGAGCAAAAACAAAAGTGTTGCATTTATATTTTTGTTCAGTGTATATAGGACATCAAACAGATAAAATAGTGCAAGAGAACGTTTTGACATGTGCAAGTAAATATAAAATAGAAATAGAAATAGTGCAAGAAGAGTCCATATACAAGTAAATGGAAATATAATATATTAGATCAATAATTAGCTAGATGCAAACAGATGAATGTTTATGGATGTTCTTTAAAAAGTTAATGTGTTTAATAGTCTTATGGCCTGTGGAATGAAACTGTCCCTGAGTCTGGTGGTTTTAGACCTGATGAGCCTCTCTGATTCAAGGCATTTCTTACACATGTGCAAAGATATCAGTTAAAAATAGGCTGAGTGTAGCATCATATTTTGAAGGGTGTTGCAGATATTTTGGGTTTATTTGCTGAGGTTTCAACGCTGGGAATTCTGCCACTTCATCCAAAAATAATCAAACACAGCCTGTCTGCGGTTCTCAAATGATTAAAGGTTGTAACTCAGGTATCCACAAATCTTACTGTGGATCGTTCGCAAGGGGTCTAATTCTTCAGCAAAAAATGTTCCCAATAAAAAAAGATTGACTGCAAGTTCAGAAGTCCAATCCTGTTTATGTGGCTCCCCTGTGAGTTGTATCTTGTTTTTTTACAATTGGTGTGCTGACGTTTCTCAGCAGTCTTCTTCTTTTTACTTTTATTATGTACTGCAACTGCTCTTACAATTTGCATACTCTGAATGCTTGACAAAACTGAAACGTACTTGAAAGCACATTGATCAATTTGAGATCATTAAATGTTCTTAATCTTTAGCTAGAGCTTAGAGACTATGTCATAAAATCAGTAAATTATTCAATAATATATATTTAACATTCCTTACCTGGTTCAATACAGGCCAATGAACTGGTAAAAGAAAATGTGCATATAGAACATGTGGCGTACAATTGTCAATGCTGATATTTGTATGGCAGTTTATATAATACTCACAGTGTGGGTTTCACATGTGAGGAAAAAATCGGACACTTTTTTGCTAAAATAAACTGGTTACCAAGCTTCTCGGAAAGAAAAGTATTTTTAAATCACTCAAACACCTAAAAGAATAAAAGACCTTCACAAACCACAGAATGCCCACCTTCCCTCCATTTCCATCACACTCTCTGCACCTGATATTGCCGTTCGCTGTGTCCTTAATGTGTTGCTGATAATAGAAATATTGACCGCGGTGTTCAGCCCACTAAGAGGTGTTAAAGGGAGTTTTCTGATGTCCTTGCAGGTAACTCCAAGCAGGGGCTGCGCTGTCGAGCCTGCAAGCTGGCGACCCACCTCTGGTGCTCCTCTGAGCTCTCCCAGCAGCCCTGCAATGGAAAGGTAAGAACACCTCGACTTATTTTAACCTCACTACCATAATCTATTCACCTTTTTATGAAGCTATTGTAACACTTTACTGCCCACATACAATATATATATTATAAAAATCGAAGTTTCTAGCACTTATCTGGCAGCGATATGACTCTCAGATACAGATGTGGTCATCGAGTGTGAACAGGGGTGTGAAACTCTGAGAGGCGAAATATCCATAAAGTACTTGGATTTGCTACCTGGTTATTGAGACAGCAGGGACATATGTGTGATTAAAAACACATGATATTTAAGAGTTCATATGATTTGCCTCAAATGCATCACACTTACTTAATGCAGACCTCCACCAATTTTTTCCGTAAGTGAATTTTTTTTTTATATCTGCACTATGATTTGGATATGCTCCAAAATGAAATGGGTACTCTTTTTTTTGGCACTTGGTATCACCTTTCACCATGTTTACATTGGGTAGTTTGTGAGAATAATCCAATATCCATGCGTCCTTTTTGCTTTGCACATTTGCTTGCTGCGGTTCTCTTCCCGAACCCGACAGACCAACATGGTCAAACATTTTATTTACATACGGTAGTTAAAGACATTTTAATATGTTGTGTATTTGTTTCTCAAATTTACTGGATATGAATGTGCTCTCTGTAGGCTGGTGCCATGTCCAGAATGCATTGTGTCAGCAGAAATGAAGAGCATCTGGATGCTGTAATTGTCTCTGTCAGTCAGTTGGCTTAGCCTTTAGTCCTGGTAATATGCTTAGCCCCAAATCCCTGGTCCTGTTAAAAGAGGATAAAGCCATTTTCAAAGCAGGAGGGACAAAAATCTAGAGTTTATAAATGGAAAGTGGGTTGACCACAGCTTAGACTAACTTACGGGGAAATGTTTGTACAGGTAACGCTCATATCACTTATATCCTAGCTAAGAAAAACTAAAGCGGATCAGGATGACACTGATGTAGTTTCGGTGGTCAGGTTCCAACACTTTTTGTCCGTCCTCCTGCATGTGCTGCTTTTCTCACACAACGCTCTCTTTCCTCTCTCCTCTCTTGTCTGCGTGCAACATTTCCTTCCTCCCCTCACAACTCTGTTGGAAAATCAATATCTCTCTGTACCAGCTGGTCTGGCTAATTCAGTGTGAAATTCAGTGTGTTTGAGGCGCACACAATCCCTGGAGGATACGACACGGAAGGCTGTCGCCAAGCCTTCGGTGGTTTCCTTTTCCATCACTGCACACTCATCAAAGCAAGGATTAGGCCTTTCACTGAAACTGCATGGAGGTCGAGGCTCCTTGTTATACATCCACATACCTGTAGGTCCAGGGGCCACTGACTCTCAACCAAAGAGCGTCATCCAAAGCTTTTGTGCGCAAAAAGATTGCTTATGAAATGTCACCTACTGTATCTTAAGTGCATTAATTGCTCAGGTGATCTTTTTTAATTTAATTCATCATACATATTTGAATGAAACTGAAATGTAGGAAAGGCTTGAATGTTGTTGGCAATTAGTTTGACAATACATCTAATTCCTGTGTTTGGTGCAGTCAGACTCTTGGGATGACTTGAGGCCAGAGCCTGCGTATTCGCTGCAGCCAGAAGAGAGAGCCGAGACTCCATAAAGCGCAGGAGGAGCATTAGACGTAGTAAACACTGTATCGGTGCTGCTGTGTGGATTAAGTAGCAGTTGTGGAAAGTTACTAAGTACACTAATTTAAGGACTGCACTAAGGTACAATGTTTTGCACAGCCTTTCTTCTCTTTTATCAGTGACATATTGCTCACACTGCAAACCTCTCCATCTCACCTCCTAATTGTTTTCTTCAAGGGTCCTTCAAGTATTATTTTCCTATAATTAATGTTAGGGATTAATTCTGTCTTTACTTCTAAATATTTAACCTTATTGCCTGTTGACAATTACGACAAGCCCTAAGTCCGTTATCTCTCGTAAGGAATGTGATAATGGAATCATGTGATGTTATTCTCAGTTTTATTATCGGTCACAGAGGGTTTTACGACTGTGAGAACGCTGGCTTTCTAAGCTCCCCAGACAGGTGATTGAGTATTTCCAGATATCGGGGATATCTGCAGTGTTCCCAGTGTTTACGCACCCTCCCCCAATATGTGAATTCTCTCTGTAAACTAGTTAAAAGGTCTATCGAGAGAGAGGCTGGACAGATTTGACATGGCAACCCACCCGTGCAGTCAGAACCTTTGACTGTGTGACTACTGACTTGTGATGTGAATTTCTCCGGCCGATGCTTATTAAAGATTCGTGTTTGACATCAAAGCTCCAACTCTCCTCGTGTCTCTCTGAGTCCTGACTCTCCATTGCTGCAGAAGTTTCCCTTACAATTAACTAATTAATTAATGAATCTTGCAGAATAATGGGGTTTTTTTCTTGTCAAGACCCACACTCAATTCTCGATAAGAAGTTGATTTCTTTAGATTACAGGTTAAGACAATCCTAGTGGACTGAGAGATTTACATATACAATTGTTAAAATTACATATGGGTACAGTTTGAATGCAGGACTTTTACCTAAAACCAAGTTGTTGTGGATGTGGCGTTGTTACATTTCAACAAAGAATCTGAGTACTCCTTCTACCTCTAGTAATTCACAACAAAAAAACAAAACTAAAGCGGGCACAACTGGCAAATTATAGGTATATAAAGTAGTGAAGTTAAAAATAAAATAGGAAAATCAATGAACGCTGTCCCTCTGAGTCACTCCTAATCCATTTGCTGAGTGCACCCATGACTGATTGCCTTAAAATATCTCCAGATCCAAGCTGCTGAAAATGACTTTGGATTCCCAACAACATTTTGCTAATCAATGTTAATTAGACTTAAAGATATATTACCCTTTGATTAAGGAAATAGGCCTGCTGAGCGCTGCACAAAATAATTGCTTCTGCAGGAAAGATTTACACTCAAACCCATTTTACCCGAAATTGTGAGAGACTACTCCACAGTCCCATCTTGCTTTGTCTGACCAAAGAGGGACATTTTAGCTTCTCTTTTCTCTAAAACTGTCCAGTCACGCTACACAGTCATCATTTCTGATATGTTGATCTGTAGCTGAATGGTAGTAGTAATATAAGATGTGGAACAGTTTATTTTGCTCAGGAAAGAATGAGTCTACTTCACATCAGTATGTTTAAAATGGGAGCAGTGGCAGATCAGAGTGTGACTCATTTTTAATTTACTTTAACAGAAAGTGAAGCATTTGCCAGATGTATTGTCAATGGTTTATTCACAGACCGTGTTTACATTTTATTTGTATCTTGTGTTTCCCGGAAAGACTTCTTGACTTCTTCTTGAGTTGCAACTGTTGGTCAAATGGCAGGAAAGTTCGCAATTATTTAAAATGAACTGAAACTGACCGCTGCCTTTTTCAAATTCTTATCATCGTCAATTGAATATTTAGAAAGAACAAAGCGATGAATTGAGAAAATAATAAGCAGACTCATTAATGATGAAAACATTATTGTGTGCAATCATTCTTTAAAGGTCCCCTATCAACAATATATTATAGGATATATACAAAACCACCTCCAAACACCAAACAGATCATGCATTATAGCTTGCCATAAACCCCTCTGTTTCAGCCCTGTTCCAAAAGGGCTGATTCTGTGTCTGTAGCTTTAAATGCTAATGAACTGCTTCTGGCCGCGCCTCCTCTGTGAAGTGTGTGGTTTAAAAAGTAGCGGATTCAGGTGATAAGGTGCATGGGTGTTACCTTGGTTGGGTTTTAGCTAATGGTTGCAGAACCCAAAACAACATTGTGACATCACAAAGTCAAATCAAAAAATCTGATCAGCTCATTTTCAGACAGGTTTTTATATAGAGGGATAAGGACAAAAAGAGAGAGAATCTTTTTTCCAGAAACTTTCCGCTTAAAACAGAGAGGACACATTTTGCATAATAGGTGACCTTTAAATGTGAGCACTTTTGCCTTTTTATAAATGGTTGAGTTTGCTGTATATCATAATAACTTTAAATCAGATATGTTGTTTTTTTTGCATAATGTGAAGCCATCCAAAATATCACTCTTAGAATTGCTGCATAAACGGATACAATCACACTGTTCAGTCATGTTTTAGCAGTGAGATTCGTGTAGTCTTTTCAAAGTAGAGGTGAAGTTTGTGTTGTGTGAGAAGGGAGATAAAGAAGAGATTCTGGGCAAATTGTTGTCTGTCAGTCCTGAACAGCCATCACACTCCCTCCGAACCTTAGAGCTATGTTTCACTTCCGGATGACTTCTGTGCTCTTCACAAGCTCTACTCACAACAGCTGTCAGATCGTCACGGCAGTTATTTTGATTGCTTTCTGTTCTTCTATAAATATATTCACTTTGGCTTTTCAGAAACGTTCAGACACCCAATGAGTATGCAACGATATTTCTATATACTTCATGACGCAGTTTCTGATTTATAGATGTTTTTTTGACATGTTTAGCATTGAGCAGTATGACCTGATAAAGGTTTTTGTTGTTATACAATGAAGGTCTTTAACTGCATGTACCACAGGCCAGAAGAAATCAACCCTAAAAAGATAAAGCATTTTTCTGATGACATGTTATATTCTCAGCATGTACCGCATTCTATAAAACGGATGATAAAAGATGCAGAGATTAAAAGCAGAAATACTTTTTTCTTTTAAATATATACACTTCTATTTGGGGAACACAAGACATATTCATCACAGCCTCTGAAAACAGGACTTTTATCTTTCAGACTGTTGAGTCATGTTCTGCAGCTAAACATATTTTTCTTGCTAAATAAAGAAACAATCGCATATCAAAGGTGTTCGGCTTCAGATCTACAATTTGACAGAGACAGATCTTTCTGGTGCCCCAATACGCAGACAACATGGATGAATAGCTTGAAGGCAGGAAGAAAAAAAAAGTTGAGTCATACTCCATTAGGCGCACAGGCGTGTTCGGGGATATATCTTCAGAAGCACCATGTTAAAGCTAATGGTGAGTGTATTATTGCCACCATTAGACGGCAATAAAACGCTCATGGATCATATTCGCAGATCCAACATACAAGTGTCAAGATGAAAACGTTTTTTATATTACAGTTAGTTTGCATTATAAATCATCCTTTTCCTCCTACAGTCCATAAAGTGGAGGAATAACATCAATTTAGACATCAAACTAAAAACATTTTTGTTTGCAACGTTTCTGAATTCACTGTCAATAGTGGGCTGGGTATTCGGAGTAACAATGAGGGACATTGCGGTTAAGATGGAGAATTGGCATTAGTTTTCAGCAGATGTATTGGTTTCAAAAGCTTGAAAACCAGATTTATATTTCTAACCTTCCCTGCACTTAAATCATATGTTAGCATATATATATATTAGCTGAATTAACTTAAAAACGTTGTATGGCTGTCCGTTGAACATTTACAAAGAGATGTTTTGTTCTAGCTCCTCCCTGACTAACTCTGTTGCAAATCGGGTGCAAAGTGTATACATGTTTTTTAGTATTTCGATTAATTTAATGTTGTAATGTTTGTGCTGGGTTATAGATACAACTGTTACAGTAATACTTATCATTTACTGTCAACTGGCAGAGGAACTTGAAGCATCCAGTTCACTTGGAGGAAAATGTAAAATTAAGAGAATACAATTAAAATAGTCAAGCAAATACAATTACTCTGGATTAGTCCTCATGGATAGCACATAAGTAACATAAGCCAAGTGCCTCCACATTTTCCTCAAAGTATCTTTATCAAAGTTATTTGTAGGAGATTTCTGATGAGCTGAAATACCGCAACACAAAGAGCTTCTCACTGTAGGCCCACGTCTTCCAGATCAAACCACACAGGTATTGTCTTACAGAATAATATCACATCTGCCCTTTGTCTTCTTTCCGCTTCAAGTAACGTTTCTCCTTCCCCTGTCCTCCCCCTCCTGTCTCCCTGTGTCTCTCCCGGCTTCTCAGTCAGGAGCCTTCAAGAGAAACTTCAGCTCCCCTCTGTTAACCGCGGACACGCTGGGAGTGGTCCGAGAGGCCCCCGCTGCTCAGGGTGAGTGATGGAAACTCTGGATGATTTCTCACAGCATCCAACAACCAAAGTCTCAGTGACTAATCACCGTGTCTCTAGCCTTCGATCCTCGATGCCTGACATGAGATGTGTGTGTTTGTGGGTATATACTGTCTGCCATAAAACCGCACGTGTGTCCCTGTGTGTGTGTAGAGGCAGATAACAGCAGTGTTGACCCTGTGTATGAGGCGCTGCGCTATGGGACGTCGCTGGCTCAGTTGAGCCGCTCCAGCTTCAGCAGTATCTCAGAGTCGCCTTGTGACGAGGTATAAAAACAGACATAGTGGACTCATGTCATTTATATAAATTCATGTAGACATTAATCACACAGAAATAAAGCTGACTTTGCTGACTTCATTTCTTTCTTTGTTATAGGAAGAAAACCTGCCAGACATTCTGGAAAACCAGCCGATCGCTGAAGAGGAGCCCATCCCAGGAAGTAAGTCAAATCATTTTCCTTCGTAACTGATGAATGTCTGTTTTGGCAGCTTTCGTGACCAGTGTGTGTCTCTTTTTCAAATGTGACTATTAACTATGGTGTCCATTAAATTGGTTTGCCTTCTCTGGGCTAATGTAGAAACACGGTAGAGCAACATGGGACTTAAGAAGACCCATTCCCTTTTTAAAGATTAATGGTTCATTCTGAACTGAAACACAACGACTCGGTTTAAAATCAATTAAATCATAGCTCAATGTTAATGTAAACAAAACACATGAAACCCTGTATCTTTCAGATCAATACTGAAAGGTTTTGTAGGAATAGGTTCACATTTTTGAAATTGGCTTGTTTGCTCTTATTTCCGAAGGTAAATTAAAAGATTGATACCGCTTTGATGTCTACTTTAAACATAAAGCTACTAGCAGCAGCCGGTTAGCTTAGCTTTACAGCTGAATTGTACAGTACACAGGTTATTAAAATGAATCTCACTATAATTAAAACATTATATCTAATTTGTACAATTTGCAAAAATATATAGTGTGTAAATTGGTAAACTGTTTTCTCCCGTTTCAAGGCTACATGCTAAGCTAAGCTAAGCTAACCACATGCTGCCTTTTACTTTATATTTACCCTTACTTTCCATTGTATTTCCCGTGGCAGTGGAAGTGATCTTCTCATTTAACTTGAAGCAAGAAAGTTAGGCCTTTCCCCATAAGTTTAACTCTAAACTGATTGGTTCATCAACCCTTTTTTAAAACAGTTGAGTCTGAGTATCTGTACATTTCACAGGAATCCTTAGAGGATACATTTTATTTGTTAAGATATAAAGTACCAACGGTGAGATTTTCTCCATAATGTGACACTATTGGGACAGAATGTGAGAGATACAGTGGGTATGTGTGTGTGTTCTCTCCACACTTGTTTAACCTCTCTGTCTTTAGTCCCAGGAGGAGGGATCATCTCTGTTTGTACTGCTGCCACTTTGCAGTACATGACCTTGATTTCTGTCTTCCATCTGTTTGTCGCTAAGTGACCTCTCTGTGTATCCCTCACACTTTTTTCTTTCTCTCGCACCTATACTCGTCCTCTCTCTGTTTTTTATACGTGACCTTTCCTTATTTCACGCATATTGTCTTTCCTTCTCTTCCTCTTTTCTCTCTCTGTCTCTCCAGTGCTCACCCCTCCTGAAAGTGAGAAGGCTGATTCAGAAGACAGAGTCAGCCTGAAGGTGTGTAGTCAGCACTCTTCTCCCATTTTTTTTGGTGAAAATGCACTCTGTCAACTCCCTTCAAACTCTCCCTACTTTTCACTTAAAGTCAGAACTCCACATTGGAAAACAAATGAATAACATTTTTTTTCTCTCTGTCTATCTTTCGACGTTCCTTCTTCTAATCAGACTCCTAAGAAAGTGGAGGTGCACTCCATCCACACATATGTGGCTCTCTACAAGTTCCTGCCTCAGGAGAAGAACGACTTGGAGCTACAGTCAGTCACATTTCTTTGCATACTGTACTGATTGTGTAAATGAGAGGATAGAGGAGGAACTGTGTACCTGGTCATCATTTTGCTGACATTCACACGCCATCTGCCTCCTCGGCGGGAGGATCAGAGGGGGGTTGCAGCGTTTGGATCGGGAGGGGGGAGTGTGCTGGGAGGCCGGAAAGGACAAACAGCTGCGTTGAGTGTGTAACATAACCAAAAAAAAGTATTTGAATGTTAGGAGGTGCAGAGAACTGCTGAGTATGGTGACACCCACCACTAATCTGGAGGATGCGTCTGTGCAGTAAGACAGCACAAAGGGGATACTGATACATGGACAGAGCAGTCCAGTTCCATTTATGGTGACATTCACATTACTTTACATTATTCACGCAAAAGTTACAATACAGGTATTTAGCGATATCAAAGCTACCTGACTATTGAAGCCTGTTCTTATTTGGGACTAGAATTGACCTTGATTTAAAAGCAGTCTAAATGGTGCTTAATGTGGCAATAAGTGCCTAATTTTACTCACTTATTAACTCATTAATTGTAAACCTGTTTCTGTGTTAGGAATTATTTTGGGGAAATATTAGCTTTTCTGCCAAGGATGGACACCTCTTTCATTACATTACATTACATTGCATTTAGCTGATGCTTTTATCCAAAGCGACTTACAATAAGTACATTCAACCAAGAAGATACAAACTTGAAGAAAACAGAATCATATAAGTACATCAGGTTTCATAGAGCCAAAACATTTCAAGTGCTACTCAACTGGCTTTAGATAAGCCAGTCCTTTATTAGTATATAAGTGCTTTGTTAGTAATTCAATCGCTCGAAGTGGAGTCGAAAGAGATGAGTTTTCAGTCTGCGCCGGAAGATGTGTAAGCTTTCTGCTGTCCTGATTTCAATGGGGAGCAAATTCCACCATTTTGGATCCAGGATAGCAAACCCACAAGTTTTTGCTGATGGGAACTTGGGTCCCCCTCGCAGTGCGGGTGCAGCGAGCTGTTTGGCTGATGCAGAGCGGAGTGCACGTGCTGGGGTGTACGGTTTAACGGAGGTAGGAAGGGCCAGATCCATTCACTGCATGGTACGCAAGTACCAGTATCTTGAAGTGGATTCTAGCAGTTACCGGAAGCCAGTGCAGGGAGCGGAGGAGTAGTGTGGGAGAATTTTGGAAGGTTGAAGACCAGACGAGTCGCTGCATTCTGGATGAGCTGCAGAGGTCGGATGGCACATGCAGGTAGACCAGCAGGAGGGAGTTGCAGTAGTCTAGGCGTGAGATGACGAGAGCCTGGACCAGAACCTGCGTCGCTTTCTGGGTCAGCAGGGGACGTATCCTCCTGATGTTGTAAAGAGTGTATCTGCAGCAGCGGGTTGTAGCAGCGATGTTTGCAGTGAAGGTTGTTATCTAGGGTCACACCCAGATTCCTTGCAGTCTGAGTCGGGGAAACAACAGAGGGGCCGATGTTGATTGTTAGGTCAAGAGTGGGACAATCTTTTCCAGGAATAAAAAGCAGTTCAGTCATGTCAAGTTTGAGCTTGAGGTGGTGAGCAGACATCCACTGAGAGATGTCTGCTAGACAAGCAGAGATGCGTGCGACGACCTGGGTCTCTGAGCGGGGAAAGGACAGAATTAATTGGGTGTCGTCAGCGTAGCAGTGGTATGAAAAAGCATGCAGGCTAATGACCGATCCGAGCGAGTTTGTGTACAAGGAGAAGAGGAGGGGACCAAGAACAGAGCCCTGAGGGACCCCTGTAGTTAATTGACAAGGGTCGGACTCGGACCCTCTCCAAGTTACCCTGTAGGTGCGGTCTTTGAGGTATGAGGTGAGGAGGGAAAGTGCAGAGCCTGAAACTCCAAGTTTATACATTTGAATGTTGGAAGCTACATGGAGGCTAGCTGTGTGCCCCTGTTTACAATTGTTATAATAAGTAAGTGTTTGCTGGATGAAGCTTCCTATTTTGCAGTGATACATGCTTTTATTTATATATATATATAACAATTCTCATTAAACCTTTTTTTGATGGCGTTTGTTCCTCCAGGCCTGGCGACAGAGTTCAAGTCACAGATGACTCCAACGAGGACTGGTGGAAGGTAGGCTGCGCAAAGATCTTAATAGAACTTGAATGTTATAAATCACCAGATTTCCTGTAAATACATATGACAGTAACACACACATATTAAACTGGTCAAACAATCAGTTGAAGTTCCTCTATTCAGAGCAGAACTGATCAGAGTACTGAAGAGCTGACTGATGTGCTTAAAGGACCGCAGGTGTGGGTGTGCAGATCTAGTCATTATTTAGAGGAGAAGAGGAGGATTGCCGTCGGTGTTTAATGACGCAGCTGGAGATCTTCACCTTCACCTGCGAAGGACAGTACGTTCTTTACATCAGACAACAGGAAAATGTAGTACAATATTTCAATCAAATACATTTTATTGCAGATTTCAAAAGTACAAAAAGGTGTTGTATCATATATTATTGAAAGTGATAATCACTGCAAAGCCATTCACTTACAGTAAACACATTTAAACCCCCTCCTAATGTAAACATGCCTCTGCTAAATGTGGATGAACCAACATCTGGACACGAGTGAAACAGCTTACTAAGCACCCAGGGGCTCTGCACACTCCAGCCAGCCAGAGTCTCTGAAGAGGATGGGGGGGGATTAGGGCTCCACAACTGCAGATGCTTTTTGCTCTAGAACCGGCATTGCTAATCAGGGAATACAAACATTGTTTTTATTTGTATTGTTCAGCTTATTGTGTTGCCTAATTTAAATTCCATTAGGTTACTATGATATAAATGCTATGCAAATGTAGGCAACCGGCCAAGTCAACAGAAAAAAACCTCAAAGAGCGTATGCTCCGCCGAGGACTGCAGTGGAGGAACCCTACGACTGGTTTCTGTTGAGACATAAACGATGGAAATACTGTAGTTCCTTTTTGTCAACAAGGCAGCAAATTATAGTAGCTTATTATGACAGTAGTCGGCATCATGCATTATTGAAGTATGGGCAATTAGGAGTCTTTTTTTCCCAATTCAGCCACAAACAGAAAATCTATTTCTAACTATGTCTATGTCGGGGTGTGTTTACCAGGGGAAAAGCAGAGACAAGGTGGGATTGTTCCCGGCCAATTTTGTGCAGCGGGTCCGCCCTGGTGAGCGTGTGTGGAAGGTCACAGATGGTTTCCATGGCAACAGAGACAAAGGCCAGATGACTGTAAAAGAGGCCCAGGTGAGCACACAGTTTTCCTCTCACACACATACACACACACACACACTGGCTGGATACATTTTTAAATGTATGCAAATGCATGCAGAAAACTGCTGATATTACAGAGGACAGCATGTTATGGCTTCCATTGCAGCACGCTTTTTTTCGCCTTAATCCACAAACCCTCTCTCACAATACTGAATGTAACTTGCTCCTCCCCCCCTCCTCCTCCTCCTCCTCTTCCTCCTGCTCCATCCCCACCTCCCTCTGCAGATCTGTGTGGGGAAGAACGAGGAGATTGACGGTTTCCTCCGGCTGAGCAGCGGGAAGAAGAGGGGCCTCGTCCCTCTGAATTATCTGTTAGAAATATGACGACTTCTCCTTGACCCTCAGTTTGATAAAGAAATTCACAATGATGACGGAGGAATACTCAGGAGTGTTTACCCGACACCTCACTGACCGCAAACCACCCACCTCCATCACCTCCAAAAAGTGGCCGTGAATTAGCAGCGGAAGTGGGGGAAACTCCACAACTTTGCTTTTTCACTGCAGAAGCTTTTAAGACTCAAAGGAGGCGGGGAGGGAGGGCTACTTTTCTTGTAGCACAACTTTACTTTGTGTGGTTTTATACACACTCACAACAGAAATGTAGCATCATGTTGAAGAGGATAGTGTGCAGGAAGTCTGGCTACCTCACTAGCCATTTCCATTGGTCACCCGTCGATTGGACTTCATTACTATGATGTCAAGGCGTGTCCAAGCCTTGTGAGTCTCCATTTCACTGTTCGTGTAGAGAAAACAAAAGAGATTGTGAAAGATTGTAGCTGTTTATTGTAGTGGCTTGTGCAATACTTGTTGGTTGTTTCAAAAAACCTTTAACAGTCAAGTAGATTCGCCTAAAGGGTAAATAAACCATGTCGATCCAGTTTTGTATGTGCAGAATGCAGCACGGCTGGATTCAGGATATGTGTCTGTCCTGCTCCGAATATAAAATGATTCAGGTAATACATTGTGTGTAAGAAAAACATTTGAAAACAAAGTATTCTCTGCTACATCTAGGTCACATGAAAGTCACACTCGCATATCACACACAAATTTCAGACTGCTCTCCCGTGATTGGATTACTGTACATTTTTGCTTTTCACTGCTCCTATGTGACAAATGCTTTGCATGCACCTCTGGGAGCTTTTATACGCACTTCAATGACACTCTTTACACACACCCATGTAACTTTCAAATCAAACAAGAGTATCTGCTTCCTGTCATGATATCGTCAGCGTTGTTTATCTCTTTGTAAAGTCCTGTAATAATGGCTGTCCGGTTTCGTACCACAGCGTGACGATGGTGTGCCGTCTCTACTTTCTGAACCTTTACTTGCATGGAAGAGCAGAGAAAAAAAGGTAATTCAGGGGGATGAAGGAAAACCAAACTTAGTGTTATTTGTTAAAAAAGGTGGTGAAGTGTTTTCAAATGTTCTGTCTCACAGAAGCCATATTCCAAACTGTTAAAAAAAAGGCTGAAGTGTTCAAGAATGGCTTGTTTCTCCCAGCTTACTTTGCATTATTCTGAGGGACTGTTATTTTGTCTGTTATTTAAGGTGAGACACGGCAGAACACCACCACACATCACTTGATTTATTGCTGTTTCATTATAAACCACAAGACAGTGACAAACTGCCTTGGTTGCGGCAATAACTGTAAATAAAGATGACTGTATTTGTAAATATCCTTATAAAGATATTAAATATATAATAATTCTGAATAGCGCTCTGATGAAGAGGTTTGCAGCTATCCAGCTAAGGGCATTAACCTCACAGTTATAAACAACAGGAGATCATTATTTATTGTATCCCACTTAACAATGTATGCATCTCTTTGCTCAATTAACACCCAGCCCTGTCAGCACAAATCTTTTCAAATACTATGCACAACAGTTCTAGTCACTTACTTTATTTTGTACTCAGCTTATTTCCAGCGTAGCCACACATGTGTCTGTATATTCCTGTGCTTTTGCCAAGATTTTAATTTGGACTCCAGCTTTTACAAAGTGTCCATCCTTGGATCAGCCTGCACCATGCTGTTCCTGAACATTACCTTCACTGGCTAGAACCAAGGGTGGCTCAGGATCTGTATATTACCCAGGTGATATACCTTTCTCACCTCAATGCACACTACCAGGCTAGTTCTTTGCATGGCTAGCTGCTTTTTGATCCTCACATATCTCAATAAAGTCAGATGAACTGTCAGATTGTGTGCTCTTTTATTTCAGAGATAATATCTCAGCTGGGTGCTTTGTATCACTCAGATACACACAGCAGAAAAGTGTGAAGAGAGGCTTGAGGCCGAGAAAAAGGCAGCACTTATTGTTGGCTACTATTCTAAATCCGGTTTAAAGAACATGTTCTTTATTGCAAGATAAGAAGAGAATAAGTCACTTCAGCTCTTAAAATCATGTAAAACTAGGAAACTTCCAACCCAGTCTCATGGCATTTCGTGTTCACCAACACGATTTTTAATCTATTGATTCGTGTTCACCAACACGATTTTCCCCTTTTTTTCGTTTTGCACAGCACGATTTTAAAAGCAATGTATTTCTATTGGTAGTCTCACGGCATTACGTGTTATAGGAAGACCGGAAGCTGTGTGGTTCATAAAAACATGTTCTTACTCAATAGCAAGCCACAATTATTGCTTTTATTTTAAATCGTATAATTCCTGACTTTTGTTGCCGTCTGTGAGGAAAATAAATGGGGCCTCAGGATACTGAAATCTGCATTTTTAAATCTTTTTTTCCTTTTGATTTGTTATTCTTTTCAAAATATCACTCTGTTATTTACTCAACAATAACACATAATTATCCTTGTTTTTATTTATTGGTTTATTTCCATAATCTCGAAAAACTTCATATGCCAAAAACGTGCTTTAAGGTTCAAAGTACAGTACAGTACAGTAATTCAGATTTGTTGTACCTCGTAAATGAAGGAATTAGCGTAAATGGGGAAGTAGTATTAAAATGATTTACCATTCTCAAGTAAAAGTAGAAAAACCTCAAAATAAATATACTCCATTACATCAATTGGGGAATTCTGTCCATCCCTCATCTGGTCAAAGTTTGTTCTGTGCGGTCGGCGATGGACACTAATCAGATGGTGACCCTGAAATTCATCAGTAATGATTTCAAACACACTCCGTCCTGAGCTGAAGAGATGAATGACAGGAGGATTGGGCGTCATATTTCACTGTGTTTAATCAGATTGTTGAAGACAAGACGGCGACCTCACGGTGAAGGACACTTTTACCGATCCTTAAAATAAAAAAAGATATTTCCTCTGACAAAGCACATTTTTTTAATGGCCATGTCCTCAACTATCTGAATAGAACTATATAATGTTTTAGAAAAACTAAGTCTACAACAATGCTAACAGAAATGTTAATCTGTAATTAGTCACATTGTTGCTTTGAGCTCAATGCTAACGTTAGCATACTAAAATGATCGCAAAGACAATGTTAATGGGCTGATGTTTAGCAGGTTTAATGTTTCCCTTTTCCATTATCTTAATATAGCATGCTCAAATTTGCTAGTTAGCACAACATGACGCTGATGCTGTTGGTAATGTCAAGTTCTGCAGGATTTGGTGATACACTAAAGTCTGACACAATTTTGGTTAGAGTCAAAAGTATTTAAAGTTACAGAAATTCATCCCAAGGTGAAAACAGAAGTCAAAGCCAAATGTCATGCAATTCATCCAAGGGTTGTTCAGCTGTTCCAGTCTGGGTCATAGTGGTACATTAACATTGACATCCATGGAGCCGTAAGTATGACAAAAAACCCTATAGAGAAGATAATTAAATGTATTTTTTTCATTCACCCATCCGCCTGCTACTAAAAACTACTAATTTAAAGCTGAATATCTGCACTTTAACCTCATATTGAATGTGTAATTTCACACCTAAATTCATAAGCTAATACATCCAGAAATAAAATGTCCCCCTTTCACGGCCACAGAGATTCACTCGGATCTTTCCTGCGAATTGACAGTGCTGAGCCTCAGAGAACTTCTTGTTCTTAATGACCATAAATAATATGATTAACTCCCAATAAGAATTAATTGGCAACAGAAGAGCTGCTGGCAGGCTATAGACTAAGCTGGCAAAGCGTGTGTGTGTGTGTGTGTGTGTGTGTGTGTGTGTGTGTGTGTCCCTGCTGTGGTGTGAGGAACATTTCTCAAATCATGACCCAGTTCTGTTATCCAGTTGGATCAAATGTGATTTTTGTCTTTGTAGAGAGAGAGACAGATATGTGTGCAGCTGGCAGTACATCAAGCCGCTCTTATATTTCAATAAATTGCTGACTTTGGTACCCAAGATTCTATGTTGCTCTCATTTTACTGTACAGCTGAGCTCTCTCTCTCTTTCATGACAATTAGCAGAGGAGGTTGAAATCCTTTCCAATTCTCTTTATGTGGCTCAAACGGCAGCGATGAGAATGTAAGGCTGAGTTTCTCTCCCGCAACAAATCATTTTCACTCTTATTTCACAATAAATCCATTAACATTAAGAGAAGACACTAAAGTATCAAAGAGGCTGGTTCGGAGCATTTCAGCCTGCTCCAGAAAATGAAGTAAAACGGCTCATTAAATGTGCAATTTGTTACTGTCCTATAATGCTCACACTCACTTTTTTGCATCTTTTAAAACTGAGCATCAGCTGCTGAACAGGGGTGATGTTTACAGCACCAGGGCGTTAACAAGGAGCAGGAATACAGCAACAATGCAAATTCTGGAAGAAAATCTGTGCTCGAAATAGCTCTTGATTATATAGGCAGGCAGCAGGATAAGTAAAGCAGTGTCAGAGGGAAATAAAGCTTTGTGGTGCATGTCAGACGCGAAGAAAAAAACACTTTACAGACCCCTGCATCAGGAAAATAAAAATAATCTCCTACGCCTCACTTCCTCTTACTGTCTGTTTAAAAAGGTGTATGTGACAGGATTACACACATAGAAGGCTTGAAATATGAATATCTTGCCTTGGTTTATGTAACCCAGACTATTCATACTTTATGGAAGCTTCCTTAAATCTTTGTAAAAATGTGCTTCTATCAGTCGGCTCATGATTTACAGTTTCATTATGTGAATGCATACTGAGTTTAGATCTAGCTTCTACAGTAAGCTCTGATGTTTATCAACTACCCAGTAAGGGTTGAATATTGAGTTTATGACATGCACTGACACCTTGAAGTTATCTTATTGCAAAGTATGCATCCATGTGTTGCATTTAAGGGTTCATCAAATCTAAACCCTGCAAGTGATAGTCCACAGATAAACCTAGTATTTTCTCACTGGACTGGATTGCTTGGAAGAATTCAAAGGCTTCTTACCCTCTTTTACTTGAATCTGCAGTATCTGATTCAATGTTGGCCATTTGATTAAAGCAAAAACAAGCTGTAATGAGACATATTTCAAAATGACACACTAACTAACAATGCAACCATAATCTGGAGGAAAATATGTGTCCCTCAAAACGTATTTGAGCATGTTGGAGGTCGTGGTTTCGTTTTATGGGCAGACATGGTTGCACCTCCTGCATCATTTTCTTTCATTCCAGCCTCATTTCCACTAAAGTATTAATAACCGTTCCCCACCTGTCCACTAGATGCCCTCAGAATTGTTCCAGCTGTAACCTGACTTCCTTTCAACCCTTCAGAATAACTGACCCCTTTCTACTCATATTCTGTCAGAACCTCAAGTTGCAATGTTGTCTTTTGAGCTTCTAATTCCTGAACTTTGACGTATACCTGCACCGACCTTCCTGTATCTACCTGCAGAAATAAAAGGTAAAGAAATGTGATGCATTCATCAGCTGTAGCTTTAAATAGATGTGATCACCATCTCGTCAAAGTTGTCAGTTTTAATCAATACTTTTAGGCCAAAAAAGGCGATTAAACCTACTCACAGCTGCAAGTAAAATGCCAAACCAGGGGAACTAATTTGTTTAATCAGAATATCAACACTTCTTGCTTAAGCCACAGCCTTACCTGAATTCAACAACATTAATAAAATCTAATCTAAATCTAGTGTTATTTTTTCCTCTTCCCTGTCTAATGTTGCCACCGTCCTCAGGTTCCAGTCGTGTTTACATTCTTCCAGAAACCCGGCCAACTGGACCATTAAAAATGAAGAAGGTACACGGCATGATTAATTTATGGTCTCATTTCCGTGCTTCGAGGCTTACCTCCGCTTTCCCAGGATGCAACTTGCTCAGACACTCTCTCTGTGACAGGAGTGAGTGGCACGGTCCAGAGGTCAACGAGAGTGCACCGAGTCCCAATCTGACCGATGAAAAGTCAGCACAAAACCTCTGAGTTGATCTTAGAGGTCGGGCAGGATGGAGGGAATAGGCCCTGAGGTTAATGCGTTAAAGCTATCTTTGAAGCATGCAACACTGGTAATGGTAGATTTGAGCATTTGCGCATTTGCTTCTACAGAAGGAGTATTTTAGGGGAGGCCCAGGGTGATTTTCTGCTTATTCTCAAACATTTATACAAATAGATCAAGAGAGTTGTATATATGAGGATGGGTTAGCTTCAAACCGTTGGAGAGTATCCAAAATCATCGTTCTATCATAAAAAGCTTTCTCTTATAGATAAGGAAAAGTATGGCATTGCAGAATACAATAAATCTTAAAAGTAGTTATTTTTCTTCTTCTCTACTTTCAGTTGGAAGTACAGCTCGAAATAAGGCAATACCAGGGTTAATGAATACATATATATTCCAAAGTAAATCAGAGATACATATTTCATCGTTTCAGAATGGACAATTTCACAGATTATTTGGAGAACATTTAATAAATATTCAAAATGATACAAAGTGATGTATCATTCAGGCTTAATTTATTTTACCCTGAAATTATAAGAGATAAATTGACATTCGTGTGACATTGAAACTGTTTGTGTGTCACTGCCAATTCAGCTCTTAAGCCAACACAATTGGCGGGCACCTGTATTTTTCCACATATCACACTACTTTACAAAATGACCCGTTAAATCAGAAATGCGACGCTCATTCTACAAGGTCATATTTGAATTTGTTTTGCACTAGTGCTTGAATTAATGTTATTTTTGTTTTATTGCACCTTGGCAATCATAACAACAAGCACTTATTTTACTCAGAAGTACATAATCATTCAAATAACAGCATTTATCCAACAAATTAAAGTGTCCAATCATTGGGCCCGTAACCTTAAACTG